GAAAAAAAACTTGAAAGAGAAGCACAACTTGCAATTTTGGAGGCATAAATTCTCATTCTTAAACGAAAGGAAGAAAAACTTTTGGCAAAAATAAAATTGAAAAAAACAAGAGAAAGAGAAAGAAAAAAGGCATTTCTCTTAGGGAAGAGTAAGGAGGAAAATATCTCCTCTTAAGGACTTGTGAGTGAAGAAAGTTGTTCTATCACTAAAAACCATTTGCAAAATACTCTCTTCCTACATAAAAACCTTAACTCTTACCCTTATGATACCACTAATCATGAAGTAGAGATTCTAGAACAAAATATTTTAAAGAAAAATGAATCTCAACTTCAAGATGTAGTGAAGAAGGAGTGGACTACACTTAGTTCTACTTCTTATGCTACTTCCTTGGAGGTGCCCAAGGAAGATAGCCTCCCTCTCTTTAGGACTCCTTCTACCTTAGTTTTTCTAATAAAGCACCCAAATTTTGGAATATATTGTTTGATAGATACATCTTGTCATGCTTCATATTCTATATTTAATCTTAAGGGAAGTTCATCTTTATTTGAACTTAATTTGCCTCCACGGGACATTATCTTTTCATCACTATCTAACAAACAATATAATCCATAATTGTTTAGGAAGTTTTCTTGTAGTATTTTCTTTATTCTCTAGGGCATGCCTAGGTTACCATTTAGGGAACCTTAGGCAAGATGTTTTAGTTTTTAGAGATAACTCTTTTAATTGTTATAGTCTTAGTTTCATTACATTTCTAGGTTTTAGCTACACACATAGACTTTGCTTAGGTAAGGATCCTATCTATACCTTTAGAGGGTCTAGTGTTTCTAGTGTCAATTTCTTTGCTAAAATGATTCATATAAGGGTATATCCTTCATTTCCACCCATTGAACATGTCACCTCTTATGCATGGTATTTTATTATTATAGGTGGTGATGTTTATCATAGAAACCCTCATGATTTGAGGACAAATCCTTTTCAAGAGGGAGGGAATGATGGAATCATGCCAAGGAAGGCAAGGGGAGACACATTGAAAGAGTCAAGAGGAATGGGCTAGACATGAAGGTTTGGGCCAGTTAAGGCCCAATGGGCTTGGAAGGCCCAAGTTGAGCTTCACATGGGCCATATCTTGTTTTAACTATTTTCTTTATGTCTTGTATATATCATATTAGTATAGGTTTCCTATATTTTGGGTCTTGTATTTTGGACCATCTAGGATAACATTTTAGGCTATAGGCTTATTGGGCCTAGTTTTGGGCTTCATGAGCCTTTGGGCTTTTGGTACCCAATATTGGGCTCATTTTCATTCTTGTAATTTTTTCTTTCCATTGTATTTGTTTGGCCATTGTATTTGGGCCATTAGAATAGGAATTTAGAAGGATTAAGTATTAAAGCATGAATCATAGAATGTTAATTACATTTAGGAGTAATTAGAGTTTCATTTGAGTCACATGTTTTGTGCCAAAGGTGGCTGCACATGTGTACACTCAAATGAACCCTAAATTACCTCTAAATGCAATTAGGATTCTAGAAGGGAGGGCTGCACATGGCATAGATTAAGTGGACGTCCAATTTGAATTCAAATTCAAATTTGAATTCAAAATTAGCGCCACTTTTGAGTGCACATGGGATGGCTCCAAAAACTCCTTTGATCCGTGGCTTTAAATGCTTGAAACCTTCACTCTTGTAAACACTTTTGATGAATGAGAATTTTCTGAATTTTTCTTTAGCCCAAATTCTCTTAAAGGTCACCGAAATCTCACTAACCCTAGTTTAGGAAAACCTCCATCCCTCCATAGCCTAGGAATCTTCTCCTTCCCAAATCACTCTTCTTCATTGATCATCCATTCGGTGGAAGACTCAAGGATAAGGTCATAGTTTCCGGAGAAGGTCACAAGAAGCAAGAATCCATCCATTGCTTCAACCTACTCCATCACTTAGAACTCCTTAGTCTACAGAGATAAATAAACTATGGTACATTTGACTCTAAAAGATCTATCTCTGGTTTCATTGCTTCGTGCTTTGCTTTGCCTTGACTTATCTTAGTTGAACGTTAAGCTTCATCTGATGTTTGTACGGACTTCATCCGGTGTTTAACCCACTTTTATCTTGTTCTTGATTTGACATTATTTGATACTTGTTTTGGCCTTTTGTCTGCCTTCCTTTATCTTGGTCGGTTGAGATGCCCGGGTACGAGTGGGTAGACGGGGAGGTCAGTATCTACTTCTCCTCTTTCTTCGACTAGGGTTTGTTAGATAAGTTTGTGACACTAGAGAAATGCTTCGGGAGTGGGGAAGGAGAGCTGCCCTTGATCGCCGGGGCGTGTCACGATGACGGGCCAGATACTGATTTTGTTTTCTTGGAGCGGGGATCGGATGAGGAGGATTACTTCTACGTTTACATGTGCTGGTTTCAGGACCTCAACATAAAGCTACCCTTCGATGATTTTCAAATGGGGGTGCTTCTAGTCTTGAATGTGTCGCTGACCCAACTACACCTGAATGCCTAGGCCACCATGCAGGCCTTCTGGAACCTATGCCTCTGCCTAGGCCTTACTCCCTGACCACTCTCCTTTCTTTATTAATACATTTGCCATCCGAGCAAGCTGGAAAAATGGGTCTCTTTGGCCCGCGTGCCGAAGCGTGGATTTTTTAGGGTGTTCACGTCCTCATACAAAGATTTAAAGAGTGATTTCTTTAAGATCCGCTGGGGTTCGGACATGGACAACTGTTTTTATGATCGAGAGGGGTGTAAGTTATTCCCCTTTTATTGGACAAAGCATTTGACACGTTTAGAGGCGATGTTTGCGTCTAAGCTCTCTGCCGAGGACCAAGAGATTGTGAATCTGCTTGACAAATTGCTGAAGGGGTTGCCTGTCCGAGGCCTCCTTGACATATTCGAAACTCCAAATTTTGAGTTGACCCTAATAGGTATGTTTTTTGGCTTCGGTTATGTAGCGGTGTTTTAAATTGATGTTAAAATTTGTTTTGTTGCAGGACTAATGGCTGGTGTCGACGATGATTTGGATGTGACCGCCATGCTCACAAACCAAGAAAAAGCTACGAAGGTGTGCGGGGAAGGTGCCACCTGCTCAGTCAGCCCTGAAGATTCATCGAGACAAGTCGTCCAATGTCTTGTTCCCATTGGGCGACCCTAAGAGAAAGGCCAGCTCAGCTTGAGGGCGGTCGACCGAGCCGAATATGGAGACAGATCGGTCGTGCTCGTCTACAAAGTGCCAGAAGCAGCTGACCTTGGAGTAGTCGGGTGGTGGTGCCTTCGCCGTGCCGGCGATTGTGGCCGGGTCCAACTTCCTCGTGCCGTCTACCGAGATCGAGAACCTGGTCAGCCTGGACCTAACCTCCAATGGCGGACTTCAGTACTTGGGTTGTAACCAGAGTATGCATCTAGGAAGCTGAAGATGGTGTGCCCGGACGCGCCGTCGATAAGCTGGTCAATGTAGGGGAGTGGATAGGCGTCTTTGGGGTAGGCTTTGTTGAGGTCGGTGTAATCGGTGCACATTCTCCACTTCCCATTTGCCTTTTTGACCAATACCACGTTAGCCAGCCAGGTGGTGTAGGTGACTTCTCTTATGAACTTGACTTGCAACAGTTTTTGCAACTCAGCATTCACAGCTTTTCTCTTCTCATCTCCCATTTTTCTCTTCTTTTGGGCGACCAGTCGTGCGTCTCGATATACAGCAAGTCGATGACAAAGAAACTTGGGATCTATTCCTGGCATGTCTGATACCGTCCATGCGAATAGGTCTTTGTTATCTCAGACCACACGTTTCACCCGATTTGAGTTGACTTCGCCTAGTTGGGATCCTATGTCTGTGACCTGCTTGGGTGCTCGGCCGGCTCAATTTGCTCTTCTTCGCCTATCCGAGGGTCGAGGTCAATGTCATCTGTCATCTCCTGCCTCACTACATTAACACCTTTTGTCGACGGGGGCTAAGCAATGGGCTGCACCTTCAGACTAGAAAGGTAGTATTCCCTCGCTGTCTTTTGGTCGGCATGTACGGTTATTACCTGTCCATCTCTCGACGGGAACTACATAAGTGAGGGGTTGAGACAATAGCCCCAAGTTCATTAATTGAAGGTCGGCCTAACAGGATGTTGTATGACGTGTTGGCGTGCACCACAATGTAACGGATTTTGACCTCTTGAAAAGACTTTTGATCGAAGCCAAAACGAGTGTACAGATCAATGCACCCTCTCGTCATCACTCTTTCGCCCGAGAATCCTACCAATGGCTCGTGATACGGTTCTAGGCTGTCTTCCGGGATCCCCAACTGCACGAACGTGTTCCAATATAAGATGTCGGCTGAGCTCCCTTGATCAACCAAGGTTTTCTTCACAATGCAGTTGTGCATTTCAACTGAAATCACCATAGGGTCGTCTTGGACGGGATCGACGCCACGGAAATCCCGATCGGAAAACGTTATTGGTGGCATCCGGGGTGTCTTCGGCTGATTCACACTATTTACTGATCGCACGGCCCGAAGGTGCCTTTTCCGTGCCGAGGAGGTGGATCCTCCTCCCGCGAAGCCTCCAGCTATGGTGTTTATCACCTTCCTTGGTCGGTCATTGTCTTCCCGGGAGTGTCGTGAATGGTCCCTCCTCTCGGTTGAACAGGATCGGTGCTGACGGTCCCTCGCGTATTTTGCTTCTTGAGGTGGCACGACCTCTCCTTCGTTGCTTGGCGGTGGTGTGAAGTTGAAGGGGGGTCTCGGGAGGTTACGAAACCCCTCAGGTGACCTTGTTTGATTAGTTCCTCCAACTTGTCTCAGAGAGCAGAACATTCCTCGATTGAGTGCCCCCTATTACGGTGGTATTGGCACGTCTTGGCTTTGTCTGCTCTAGGAGGGGTGTTCGCCCGTTTCGGCATGGTGAGGATTTCAGAAGCTAGAGCTTGTTCCAATATTTTCGCCTTACTCGTGTTGAGGGGCGTGTACGTTGTGTAACGTGGCCTTCTTGGGGGCCTATTATTCGGGGGCTCGGTATTCACCTTTTTCCCTGGTTCTCGACTGGATTCTTTTCGGCTGTAACCCTCTTTGGCCCTAGTCTGATTTCTGGTCTCCGCCAACTCCTCCATTGCATGTACTTCTCTGCTCGACGCCAGAGATCGTTCATATCTCCAGGCAGTTTCTTACACAGGCTATTCACAAATGGCCCCGGCCTCAGGGCAGTGCTCAGCCGATCCATTACTACGGCTGGGTTGAGATCACCGATTTCCATGGCAATTTTGTTGAATCGGTCCATGAAGCTTCTCAAACTTTCCTTCTTTTCCTGTCGAACCCCCGCCAATGCTAGTGAGATCGTCTTGTACGATTTTCTCGTCGCAAACTGCAGGGTGAACTGGGACGACAACTCATTGAACGAGTCAATGGAGAAGCTTGGCAATCGCGTGAACCAGCTCAAAGCCCTTCCCTTCAACGACGTGGGGAATATCCGGCACAGGGCGGAGTCATCTTGAGTCGAGAGGGTGACTTGTGTCAGAAAAAAATTCAAGTGCTCCTCAGGGTCGGTGGACCCGTCATACTTCTCGATGGGCATGCTCTTCCAGTGGTCCAAAAGGGTGGCTTCCATTATCCTTCGGGAGAATGGGTGCCTTAATGAGTGAGAGGCGGTGTCGGCCTTGCCACTAACTAACTAGATAATTGTAACAGCCCAGCAACCCCCGCATGTGAATATTGTCCGCTTTGGACGCAACCCTCACGGTTTTGCTTCTGGCAATGGCACGCATGCCACCCCAAAACGCGTCCACACAAGGAAGGTATCAACACCCATATATATGGCATGCTTCGTTCTCCTTCCTAACCGATGTGGGACTTCACACAATCCACATGCGGGTTGCTGGGGTGTTACAATAATCGGTGTTAGGGTGACCTGCTCGGTTGGGGCATGATAAGCTAATTCTTCCACAAGCGTGGGAGTCGACGACACATAGGTTTGGTTCAAATTCTGGAGCTCGACATTCTGTCGATGAAGTTCGGCCAACTCCCTGGCATCGGCTTCTCTCTGTCTATGTATGGCTGCCATTTCCTCGCGCAATGCGTGCAAGTCATCGTGGAGGTCAGGCTAGGCTCTGGCGGCATTCGGTCGGACCTCTTGTGTTGCAGGCTCCAGTTGTGTTTAAGGCATTCCGTACGGGTATCATTCTTGGCCGGTCATTCTGGGATTGTTCTCAGGGTTAGGGATCGGTTGATTCAATGTTGACGGTCCTTTACGCGTAACTACCATGTCTTAGTCTTAGTCAGTAGAGTTTAAAGGGGCTGAAAACGTCTCTTCGGCCCCACGGTGTGATGGAACTACTTGGAGAAGATTGATGTTCTTCAAGTTGAACCATGCTAAGTCCCTTCTTCTCTTGAGGTTCTTCGCGTCAATGGAAGATTTGGATGAGTTCAAGCTTCAAAAGCTTGAAGATGCTTCCCAAGGTGGTTCAGTTTCTCTTGAAGGAGAGAAACTTGAGGAACCAAACACAAAGGAGAAGTTCCTTTGTGAAGCTTCTAGGAGAAGGAGATTCTCCACGAAATTGGACTCTTGAAATGAGAGAGAATTTCTGAATTCTAAGTCTCATAAATGTCAAAAGTGATTACAAGAGTAGAAATTACAAATATATAGAGGTAGGTAGCTTAAGGAGCAAGTTAACCTTAACCATGGTTCACGAGGAACCATGGTAAGGTTAGTTGACCTTCAAGGTGAGTTTAGAAACTTGTGGAGCAAACTTTTCACTTAGCTTGCTTGGGAAGCAAGCTAAGGAGAAGCTTGTAGCACAAGCTTCTCATCTCCTTGAAGGCTAGAGAAGCAATTCGGTCAAAGAAAGGAGACTAGGCAAGGTGGGCGGATTTGGTCTCTTTTGGCTCCTTGAATTAATTTCAAAAATGTTTAATTTGGTTTAGTTAGGTTCATGCAATGATGATGAAACCTAGATAAATCAAATCTATGAAAAATTACGAGCAAAATGAGTCTAATATGTAAAATTTTGCCTAAGCCCAATTCTGGCCCAATTACTAGTCACACCCTCAAGCATTGCTAAATGCCACCCCTCTTTTCCTACTTAAAAAATAGAAAATGAGTGTATCAACAAAGGAGGTTAAATGGAGTCAAACTCTCCAAGTAACCCACCCTAGAATCAATATACAATGACAAATAAAGGAAACTAAAGTGCCTCACAAATACAAAGGCAAAAATAGGCCTATACAAGAGAACTATGTACAAGATATTTACAACTAGAACTATGCCTTCTCTTCATGATAGAGTGGTCCAAATTGAATAGTACCTTGGGCTTGGAAAGCCCACTAGTCTTCAAGGTGTCCACTGGTCTTCAAGGTGGCCATAGCTCTAGAGATTGGGCCCTTGGCCCATGGTCCATCATCCCATTCCTCTTGGTTCCTTCAATGTATCACCTCTTGGATTCCTTGGCCTTGGCCATAGTCTATCACGGTGGGCGTCAAATGTTCCTGTATTAGGATGCACACTTTACTTGTCCTTGCTGTTGCGAGTCTGATCCTTGGTCTAGGTCTTCTCGTTCCTTTCCGGGTAGTCCGAAGTTAGGGGGGTGCCTGCAAAGACACTCCAACACTCAAGTAAGTGCTCGGCGTATTAAATGTGGTAGTTGAAAGTTAGTTACGTACCTCGTTGGGAGTTTATTTATAGTGGTTGTTATTGGGCCGTGATTAGGGAATGGGCCCCGGAAAATTAGGGGTTAAATCAATGTATTAGGTAAATTAATCTCTCCTTAATTGTCTTGGCATAACTCCGTAACTTGGTCGACCAAACTGATCACCTCTTACCCGGGCCGAACGGGTCGGTGTGCTCGATGAGATCGATCGACTCGGTCGGATCGGGTGTTCGACCCTGTCAGCTACCCTCCGATATAGATATTATAGAACATATATTAGAGGAAAATTCATCATTTTAGAAGAAAAAAGTTGAATAATCAATAAGAAAGGTCAAAGGAGTAAATACGCGCCCCTTTTCAATTACCTATATTTTGAATAAATTTGGTTTAGAAATTCATTTATATATAGAACATATATAAGAGGAAGAGGGATGATTGAAACTCCTTTAAGGTTGAAGATGTTCGTATTTCATAAATTCAATATATAGACACTGATTGAAGAGTCATCAGTGAAATATATTTATATTGAAAATTATATTATAAGTATATAATTATAAATATTAATATAAAATTAAACTTAATTAACTAAAATATAGACGTTTATAATTTATTATGTAACGCGTCAACAATTACACTAGTATTGGCTAATTAATTTTAATTAATTTTGTTTAATTTTTAATTAATATATATATATATATATCATTTATTAAAAAATTGATATTAAATTAATGACTAAACAAGTCATTACAACTGATAAAAAGAACTAACGTAAATCCTAAAGATGAAGAAGCCAACAAAATATGAAATTCCAACAATAATTCCGATGTTACATCTTATCAAAACTCAACATCAAGCACAAGGCTTAAGCCTTATTATCAAGATCATAATCCTCACCTATAAAACATATACAAGAACACCAAACAAGGGAAAGGGGAAAGAGAAACATCTCACTTTGACCATCAATGTGTGACATGAATATGCGCACAATATAAATAACCATAAGAACACACGAATATCCCCACACATAAATAACCATGATTGACTCAAATGTAATGAACATAAACTAAACTATATGGATGTGCCGCTAGTAGAACATTTTCATCCTTGACTCAAGGCACACATAGAGTAGCCTAGGAGAATTGTTGAATCTTGCCTAAATATAAGTTTTCATAATGATAAATTCTTAGTTTCAAATTTAAGAATAAAAGAGTTCTCATGTGTGTGCTAATAATTTTTTTCAAGTGTTTCAGAAACATTTTAACCTAATTAGAAGGCTATATGATCTCATTGTTCTTTGCATATCAAAGAAATTCACAAGACATCCTTACATAAGAATCTATGGGGAAAAGATAGACACTAGAAGTAGGTTAAATAGTGTCACTCAAAAACTCACACTTTTCGTGAAACAGTGAGGTAATAACGTTGCAGTAAGGAGTGTAGATGAAAAGGTAAACAATAAGAAAACAATGTATTTTTATAATGGTTCCTCTAAACCACCAAGATCATGTCCAGTTCTTGATCCAACTAGATCAAGTTTCACTATCTTATCCAAGATACAAGTATAAGTCACTTTTTACTCTACCTTAAGTGATGGAAACCTATTTCCCAAGGATCCTTTTGGAAGAGATAAAACCAAGAAGGGTGTAGGTTGATAAAGTTGGTTTGAAGAATTGTAGGGCACTTACCCTTATTTTGTAGGGTATTCTACCTTTGCTGAACTATCCTACTTTAAAGGACTCTTATTGTTGTTATACATTTTTATTATTTGTAATTAATTTTAGTAATGATTGTACTAGGATATTTTTGGCCTTGTATTTTGGATCAAGTAGTGTAGTTAATTTTGTTCTTACTTGAGGGTGTAATTAATAGATTAAGGAAGGTGTAACTAGCTAAGTCTTGTTAGACTTATTTGGGCTTGGCCCAAATATTTTTATGGCCCATAGATTTGGACGTCTACTTGCTTATGCAAGTGGTTTGAACGTCCAAACCAAGCCAAACTTTCTATCCAAACTAAAAATTAAGTCACATGGCTTTGATTGTGACATCTCAATAACTTGTTAAAGTAATCATTAGTTTAATAGTTGTGATGATTAGGCTAGGTAGTTGGAGTTAACCTAAGCTAATGATGGAGACCTCAAGGAGAGACTTGATTGATGAAGCTTCTCCTTCGAGTTTCTTCCTAGATCTTTGACTTTTTGACACTCTTCAAGCTTCTTCAAGGTCTCTAATGAAGGAGGAAACCTTTGGACAAATCAAGATGAATTTCAAATTTCTGGTGCAAATTTTGGTGTGACCCAGCTTTAATTCTCTTTCCTTTCTTTCTTTTTTTAAACACTTTGAATTTCATTTTTTCTATTTTATACTCTGATTTCTAGCAATATTTTTCCAAAAATTAAATCTTCTAGGTCATGCACAAAGAAACTTGAAAACAAACTTGAATTAAGATTAGATTTAATTTGAATTTGGAGGCAAAATGACTTGAAACTTAAAAAGACGTAATGGAAGCCTAACTCTAAAAATTCATCAATGATCTAATGACGAATACGAACTCAAATATGTAAAAGGAAAAGCACCAAAGTACCAAATCAAATCAAGTAGTATTTGGCCAAAACAAAATACAAACACAATATGAACTCAAACTAGGTTAAATTAAGCATTTCTTGAATTTTTGACAATATAAGGACTAAACATGACATCTAACAACATTCAATGATTCAAAATTCAAATTAATACAATTATCAACACCATGACCAAACCAAAAAAAATGAAACAAGACTCAAACAAGCAAAATAGCCCTTGGATAGGAACCTATTAGCATGTGATTGAGAATTTAAGAAGGCAATCACTCAACACATAGATCTATCATGTGTTTGTGCAAGAAATTTAGATCTATAACAACATAAACACATTCAAGACATATAAGAATATTTTTGACACAAAATGAATGGTGGAAAGAATACTTAAACCTCAAGGAAGCCAACCATGGCTCATGATACCAAAATGATGGAAGCTAGGAGGAGGAAAAAACTTAATTCTTTCTCTAATGGCTCCATGTATCCAAGTAGCTTGGCTTGAGGTTCCTTGCTACACCTTAACCGAATGGAATGGAGGAAATGAGGTTGAATTGATGGAGAAGAAGGGAAAAGTGGCGTGAACCTCTTTTAGAGAAGAAGACGCAAAGCTAGTTAACTTAATCCACAAGGAAGGTTTCCTTGTGGAAAATGCTTAAGGAGGAGTGTTCTTCTTGATGACTCTTGAGAGAGAGAAGAAAAATTTCTGAAATGAAAACTCCTATAATGCTCAAAAGTGTTCACAAAATGGAGGGAAGGCTAGAAGTGGAGGAAAAGTTTAGCACCTAGAATTGAATTTTAAATTCAATTTTACATGGCGTGGATCTTCCTTATTTTCACGCCCTAAA